GGCACGACCCATCACTAATTGACAGCGCATTAAGGCGCGTGCGCGCCCGGGCTAGGCCCAACGATGACCGGGATGTGCCGGCTCTCCCCCGCGGGTGCCCGGTGCCGACCCGTGGTTGGCTAGTGGCTGGCGGAACTGCGGCCCGGTCCCGGGTGAGAAGAGCGGAGGACAGTGGGGACGGACTCTGGGCTTTTAATCATCTTTTATGGATCCCTTTTGTAAATATTTTATTAAATTTTATCCCCTTTTTATCCAGTTTCCCTTTTTATGATCACACCCCCTCAACAGACTCTTTTAAACCTGTGACACTACTGGACACCTGAATCTCTCCTACGGGGATTAATAAAGTATCTATCTATCTATCTACATTGCACACCCTTCCAAGGCTCGAGACCTAAACAAACTTTGGAAGCAGAGATCATCAAACCAAACAGAAGTGACACTGAAGTGTTGGTCGAGGCGAATACACAAATGCTCTGTGGAGTTCCAGCAGCTCACATTTCTCTGTCAGATTGTCCGCAGGGATATCTAAAAGCCACTCACATGTCTCCATGCTTCTCTCCGGGTACTGCCGAGCTTTTAGAGTAAAAGGTACAGGGGCCTATGGGAAGCAGATCTTTGAGCCTATGGAAAATATCTAGTGTAAGTGTGAGTGCTCAGTGACGTGTGCATGTATGTTTTTTATGTGCATTGAACGGGTACAAGTCGATCTTCATTATTGACGTGAACTGGATCAATATGCCGGCCGGAAAAGAATATGAACATGGTAGAAAGTGGCTTCCCACATTCACAAATGTTAGTCCACAAAATGCCTTTAACCTGGACTGCATTTATGGCTTTGTTGAATTTGAAATTGAATTAACCACGCATTGAATAAAGAGCCACATGGTCATAGATTTTAACATTATAGAGAACAGAATTGGGTTATTACCAGTGGCACTAAAAATGGGGATATTATGTTTTCAATGCAAGAAAATAAAGAATACTCAAATGTGTATGAATAACTATACATACAATGAGGTGGGAGGAACAAATTGCAGGCATGTTGTCTTTAGGCATTTTCTTTCCATGCATTTCAATACTGTGCACCTCGAGAAAGTTACATAAGCAGTGAATCCTATGTCCAGTCTGACCCAAATGTGCCCCGCCTCTCTTCTTTTAGGCCAATACCCAGAGGAAATCACGGACAGGCACCTCTTCCAATAATGTTCTTTTTTACACCTCGTCTAATCTCCATTCTCTTTTATTTTTTTCCCCAACCTTTAGTCTCCTATTCAAGTCCCCACTCGGTAATGCTCTATTACCACAATGGAAGGACCACAAATTGAAAGGGACAGATGGAGAAAAGTGAACTAGAACACAAAAACAACTCTTACAAACACTGCATTAAGCGTCCAATCCCCTCCTGGGTTCTTCCACAAAAGTTATGTCCAATAAACAAGACACATTTTCTTTCTTATATTTGTCTCTCTCTTTTTTTTGCAGACAATTTGTACCCATCTATCTATTACTCATTCCGCCGGTGCACTCTGGTCCTTATGCGAGGTGCCCTTGCTGCCAGTGGGTTGAGTTGCCGCGGCGATGAAGCCGGATGAAGAGAAATCTATCGATTTTTTTCTGCAAAAGGATCGTAGGCAGACCTCCCACGCTAACGTTCAGAAAGACACACTTTATATATTGGCCGAGAAAACAAGCAAAAGATTGTTCCAACTGTGTTTTTTTTCCACAAGGGCAGAAACAGAAGGTTGTTTTTTTCTAGAACACATATTTAAAGATACAATTATTCACATATTCAGTTGGCTTGGATACTCCTTTGAGATGTACCTTGGTAGTGTAGTCTCTGTATTTTAATTATATCGAGCAGTGCTTCTCAAAGTGGGGGGTGCGTGCCTGTTCGGTGGGCTGTTAGAAAGATAAAGGGACGAGGGATGGGTAATGATATAGCCAAATGTTTTCTTTTCAAAGACACATGAACATCAGAAAAGCAAGAAAGATTTTGTTAAGATGCTTCTATTCACATCTGTGTCATAGAATTTACATTGTTGTCGTAAATATGGACACATTACATACGTTCAGACTGCAGCTTCACGCCAGACTTTGATGAGAGTTGGGTCAGTCATGAAAACCATAAAGCTATTTCCCACTGACCTAGGAGTGTGGGTCTATTATTGCCGGTCTGATAATTAAATAGGTGTTCTCTTGTTGTTCTCGAGAACCGGCTCGCCTTTGGGGAAAAACCGCACCACTGTGACCGAAGTTAGGCCCCTTTTATACGGAGACAATGCGGCAGTAAAATGCTATAGTTGGATGTTGGTTGCTACCGTTCATACGGAGACTGTGTTTCAGGGGGGTGAAAACCTGTTCAGAAAAGTGTTCAGATCCAGCCTCAGAGTGGGACAGCTCAGAAACGCTGCACAGTGGGGGCTCTTTCACATCCGCTGAAGAAAAAGGTGTGAATTCTCTGCTGCTGATCTGACCCCCACCTCCCCGCTGCTCTCCTCGCGTACATTTGGACATGCGCAGTATCCAAGAACAAACGTAAACAACAATGGCGGCGGGTACACTCACTAGCTACATGTGCATCGAGCGCTACACGGAGGAGGATTCTACTTAGTTCGTCCAAAGGAAACCACGCGAAGCTCTCGTTTCAGTTTCCATTTTCGCAGCTGCTGTTAAAATGCAGAATGGTGTTGGTGCATCTTTCACGTCTTGCAGAGGAAGTGAGTATACTGCGGGGGAGGGACGCTGGGGCTCGCGTGCGTCATGTTGTAAAGTTCCTCTGCCCACTACTGTCCGGGCGCTAGAACTACATCATATGAACGCTGTGAAATTTGCATTAGGAGCCTGGTCGTTTCTGTTAATAGCCTGGAAACGTCTGCGCAGCGTCTCAGTATAAACAGGGCCTTAGTGTAAAATATAAAACACATTTAACTGTGTCAACGTACATCCAGCACTGTTAAGGTCAATGGATGCCAGACACACACCACTCACTTTGGATTGTATTTTCCGTACCCCAGGGCTCATTAAGGTATTAACAACTTGTTTTTCTGTTCTTCAAGGCATCTTTTTTTTTTCATGGAAAGTTTAGTTTTCAGTTGATCTTTTGCAACTGATTGTTAATTAACTGCTGAGCCAGGGGGTTAGCCTATATCTATATACAGTCTATGGTACAAATGCACACAATTTTATTTCAACTAGAACCAAATGTGTCATTAGACCCAAGTCATGCATCATGGATTTGCAACATAGACAAAAATGTAAAGATTGACAGTGAAAGTTTCCACTTATATTTGCCTGGAGTCTCGACATTCTGTGACATTTTTAGAGCCCTCACCTCGTGTTGATATCTCATTATTGCATGGCATCTTGAAGCAGCAGGTTTATGTAAGCTCCTTTTTCCGAGCAGATGAATCACGTAGCACAAAAGTTCTCCATCGTCCTCCTCCCTCCACCAGGTGACTCACTGGTCCATGCGCCTATCACTGGCACCTTGTATTTTCATGGACATTTGAGTCTGCCAAGGCCAAAAATAAAAGATCTACTTTGGATGTCATTATGTTATCTACGTGTTATCCACAGGTGAAAGACGTATTGAATCACATTTCTTTGCAAATACAAAAAAACAATACTATAAATTTGAAGTCAGACATTTGAGTAATTTTACTTTGTGCCATTCAGATGATTTTACTAAAATGATGAAGGTTATGTCGCTTAAAGAGCGACTAAACACCTGTGCCCAGCCTGACTCCGCCCACATGAACATTTGAAAATGTTGTCTTAAAAGGGCGTTGCCTGAAGGACCAACGGACAAGAAGGGGGGCTTGGAGTTGGGCGTGGTCTGGGCTGTGATTGACAGCTCACTTGTCACACACAAAAAAAAAAACAGACAGTTGTCATTGCTGCTTAAAGCAATAGTTTACAGACCAGAAAGTCTCATTCCACCTTGTTTACACACTAAGATAATTGTAGAGCTACACACCTGAACCTAATCCACAGAATTATCTCAGCAGCAGTGGCTTCAACTCATGTAATTTCATTTTAATCCACTAGATGTCGCCAGAATACTCCAACCTGCTGCTGGGGCGTGTGTGAGAGTTGGATGGGTTTATATCACTGACGCAGACAGACGCACGTCACACACACCAACTGACACACACACCAACTGACACACACACACCAACTGACGTCACACACACCAACTGATGTCACACACACCAACTGACACACACACCAACTGACACACACACACCAACTGACGTCACACACACCAACTGATGTCACACACACCAACTGACACACACACCAACTGACACACACACCAACTGACGTCACACACACCAACTGACACACACACACCAACTGACACACACACCAACTGACACACACTCACCAACTGACGTCACACACACCAACTGACGTCACACACACCAACTGACGTCACACACACCAACTGACGTCACACACACCAACTGACACACACTCACCAACTGACGTCACACACACCAACTGACGTCACACACACCAACTGACACACACACCAACTGACACACACACACCAACTGACGTCACACACACCAACTGACGTCACACACACCAACTGACGTCATACACAACAACTGACGTCACACACACCAACTGACGTCACACACAACAACTGACGTCACACACAACAACTGACTTCACACACACCAACTGATTTGGTGTTTAGCCACTCTTTAAACCTGATATACACTTGCCCAAAGAAAACGGCACCGCTTCTCTGAAAAGAAATCATTATAGTCGAGAATGTATTACAAGATGATGAGATTTATGCTTCAGCCAATCATTGTGTGACATTTAAAGCAATATTGACAGTTTAGTTTAGTCAATAATCTTAATTACTTATGCTTTATTGTTCATTACACAACTCTATAAATACCACTGAAGGAAATATTGACTGCAGACACCATAAAGCCAAGACTAAACTGCCAATGTGTGTCTCTTTCCTTTTCCAAACAATCCTAGTCAATAAACAGAAGAGTTCGCTGTTTTATGCCAACTCCTCTCTGCACTGTCAAGTCGGCAGTGGCCCTGTGCACCTTCAGAAAAAAACACCACCACAGCAGCTCATTTGCCGCATTTGCTGTGGACAGGAGGCAGGTAGAGTAGCGACACGGAGCCTGGAGCATTCCCACTTAGCGCACGGAGCTAGCTGGGTCTTATTAACCTGCAGGGAGACACTCCAGATAACATTCAGCACCCTGGAATAATGCAGTCCATTTATCACGGAAAAAACAAAGGCCCTGACACACGCAGTCATTGTAAACGCACTGAGCTGGAGTGAAGGTGCCCTTGTGTTGTATTGTAAATCGGAATATTTGATTCAAAGTGCCACGCCACTGGGTGTGGAAAATTGGGGCCACTATTCTCATTGGGTGTAAATTTAACCTCACTGATCCGAGCCCCGGAGTATATCACCTTAAAATATAGCAACTTGCCCTCTCTAGTGGGTATTTAGAGCAGGACAAGTTTAAAAGTGTAAAAACAAAAAAACCTATGGTCAGTCTCAAAATGTGAAGCACCAGCAGAGGGCACTCGATGGTGCTGGCTGACTTCAAATTCAATTATTGATGATCTGGCTATGTTTTTATGTTCTGTTTTTGCACCGACTGAAGCAACAGATGTCTTCAACACTTCAACACAGAGTAGCATGTCATTCACAGTTTGCCCTGAGTTTACAGGGGTGCCAAAGCTGTATTCAACCAAGATCTAAGTTTCAAGCTACAATGCAGTGAGCAAAGATCTACCTCTTCAGAAATTCAGAAATGTCACGATTTTGTTTTTTTCGCAAGATGCATTGCAATTCATTGATCTTGTCTTTGTCTTTAATCCCATTTTGTCTAATTTGAAACTTGCTTGTATGAGTACGCACACAAATGGCACACAGACAGCCTGTTTTCTCCCCTGAAAAAGAGATGCTGAAGTCTAAATAAAGTTAAATTCAATTCAATTCAAGTTCAGAGGACCCAACAAAACTGTTGAAATCACCAACACAGATCAGACAATCAAACCGTTTTTTCAAATGTTATAACTGCTTTTGTGTAATTATTAGCTCTTCCTACTTGTATCTAGATAATTTAGGGTTTACAATGCCAATTTCAAAGCACAAATAGACAAATAGTTTTAGAGCCTGGATGAGTTCACACATGAAATAACTGCCTCAGGACTTCTTCTTGTGGCGGTAACTGATCAAATGCAACATTAAACACTGCGTCTGGTCTTGTCTGAGAGTGCATAAGTTTTGTGTTTTTTTGTTTATGAGTTACGTTGTGTAAACGGGCATGAAATAAGTTTAAAAAATAAACGCTTCTGTGAAAACACAATAAGTAAACGGCGCTTTCCTCTCACCAACTACAGCAATCAATTCTACTTGTCAACTTGAAGCACACCCAGGAGCTTTTGGTGGCTTCTACAGTACCTATGCGTGTCACACCCTCCATATTCTTCTCCAAATCCCAGGAGGACCTCTAATCGTAAAATGGTGTTGGGAATTGTAGGCCGCTATAGATTCCACATGTTTCATTCTAGCTTCACATGATCAATGGAGTAATCCAACATGGAAGAACGCTCGGCAAACTTATGTTGCAAACTAAAGACAAGGTGACCTGGATGATGCCTGTTTGAGATATAAAACCCTTACCCTTATATACAACTTATTTTAGGTACATGTGTTTTATGTCTACAAGCAGGAATACAATACATGCTACAATTGTAAGTCTAATTCTGTCTGTATGGAATGTTATTTAACATGCTATGGAAAGGTTTAGCTTAAAATGTGAGATAAGCTTCTACTCTGACATGGTTTGAATCCAGGTTAAAAACAGTTTTGTTTAGCTGTGCATACAACTGGAATTTATCTCCACTCTTTTTAATGAACTGTGATTATCTATGATATTAATGCCTTGTATATGAATTGTGCAATATAAATAAAGTTGCCTCGCCTGCTTTTTGTTGTTTATCCCAGGACTGAGATTCTAAAATCTCAATGCTATTTTTTGCCGCCCATTAGTTTTTGACTTCATGGTCTTCTTGTTTATGGAAAATACCCGTCTGGATTGTGTAAAATTAGAATATAGTGAGCTTTTCCATAATCACATTTGCCTCCACACAAAGTCACAACATTGATCCCCTATTGCCTACTAGTGGACAAAGCAAAGCCTTCTAAGTTCTTTCCATATGGGGCAGAAGTCCTGCCTTCACAAACAAAACATTGGGCGCCTTTGAGTTCCCAACATTTAATGAACAGGGGAAAAAAAGGGCACATGTTTTATTGTGTGGCACAGCCTGCACCAGCGTTTCCCTGACGGCTTAATCCCCACATCTGTTCAGGCGGAGACTGAGACGAGATTAACCTGCTGCTTTTACATCTGCAGAGAGGACGGGACATGTCAGAGCCACATATGACCCACGTGTACCACATGCAGTATGCAGTTAGAGCATTAAAAGATCTTATGAAGTATAAAGAAAATCCTCTGTAATGAAACTTTGTTGTAAATCTGGCAAAGGACTGTGAAAATATAGCTGTTAAAGAATGTAAAAGGCAACTGCTCTCTGCAAGGACCTCCACAAGCAATTAGTCAATCTGGCCTTATCTTCTTGCATATTTCAGATGATGCACAATATTATCAAATCCTGCATACGCCAGGGGAGCTGTGGTAGTTATGTTTGAATGCAAAGGTCATGCCTCACTCCAAACGCACACAGAGAACTGCAGAGGCCGTAACAATTCTAAGGCCTTGACTCCACTAGTTGCGTAAAAAAGACTATGTTTACATCAAAAGCTCTCAGTTTCAGATCAGTTTCATTTAGCAGCGTGGAGAGTGGATAGAAGCATCCCCACTGTGCGCGCCATGCGTTGGGCGTGCGTATTAGGAGCTGTTCGTCCACGGAGAGGAACGTGCACACAGATGGACACAATAGAATCCCATCCTATTTTTGAGGGATGCCGGCGTGTATAGGGCCCCTTTTCCATTAAATGCACAAAGACAGGAGCATTTGAGCAGTTTCCACCACCACATGACGTGCATGAGGCATGTTCAGTGTATGGAGAGATACACGCCAGATAATTCCCACTGTAGAGCTGTTGTAGAGAGCCAAACGCACACACTCCAGTTGGAAAGGCTTCTGCAGGGATGAACGTACAGCTTCTTAGCCATCCTCCCGTTTTTTTAGAGCGGTCAGGAGCATGCACACATAATCAAGGATGTGGCCAGAAGAATCCAGCCTTTGAAACTGTATCAGTAATGTAGAAAACGCCTGTGAAGCACTGTGGAGGAGAAGGCGAAGGTGCCGCTTTCTTTTCACATGGTTAGTTATCGCCTGGACTGGTGAGATCGCTAATGATTTCAGAAGTGCTCTCGTCATGTGTGCGGTCAACAACAAGAATATGATTTCAAAACCAGTCGACAATTGATCCAGCACTGAGCAAAGACTAAAGGACTCGCTGACTGACGGCATTGTGTTTATCAACTCCTTAGATTTTTTGCTTTTTACAATACTGAATAAGCCACGCACTAAAAGCATGTGCACATAAACAAAGCGAGCATGAGAGAAGAATGCAGGCTGACTGGTTCTGGCAACGTCACCTGGCATATCTAAAGTACTCCATGTCAACAAAAGCATACTGCAGTGGAGTGGAGTGAAGCAATGCATATACACTGTAATATTTGAACATAAAAAACCAACCTCTAACAAAGTCTTTTTCATCCAAACTCTCGTAACCCACGTGGCACTGTTGTTTAGAAGCAACATGACATGGGTTCTTCTTCACTTTCTCGCATGTTTTTCCCCCCCACAACTTACAAAGCAATTCATTGAAGTTACAAGGGGAAGGCTGTGGGTGATGATTTATCCACGTTCCAACTCAGAAAACAATATCGACACAGTGCTTTCCCCTCCACTTCATACATGAATGCTTTAACACGCATCCAATCGCAATGTGCACAGCTGACACTTCTCCAACAAGTGTTCAGGGTAATAAGATCTGAACTCAACATGTCGACTCTGGCAGCCAATCACAGATGCTTTTTTTTCTTTTCATATTGCTGCCAACAATAAAATCCCATTGCAGCGAAGAGAGATGGAACATGAAAAGAGGACAATAACGTGTTCAAAGCGTGGTAGGAATTGCGAGTAAATGTTTTAGATTTTACTTGTCGATCTTTAATCGTTTAATTTGGGAGTTTACAGATGCAAGCAGGCATCGTTTTTGTCCTTCAATTACAAGTACATCATATTCAGATCATTACTGTCAATTTGATGTTCTCTTTTCATGCAGGTTTTCATGCAAAAAGCAGGTTTTACTACAATTGCAAAAAGGTGTAGAAAACTTACCTCTGATAAAATGCAAATCAAAATACTGAACCCTGGATGTCAAAAGCCCATCTAGTGTGTGAATTTGCTTTGGCTGTAAGCACCATGAGGCATGCATTAGAAAGTCAGTGTGTTACTTATATCTACCCCTACTAAAAATCATCATAATTAAATCTAATAATTAAATGGAAATGACTTTTTCCCCCAAAAAGTATTTTTCCAAATGTACTGTATCCCCAACCTGAGCTGGGGCCATTGTAGGTAAAAAGCTGTGCATAATTCATTGGAGTTCTTTTCTATGTTTAGATTCTCTCGCCCTCTTATGTGTACATGTGCACAAGCATTGTAGTCTCATTGTTGACAATGGAACATGTCTATATAAAGCTGTAGCACAGGAACACATGGGGTAAAGTGTGAGGAGGTCAAAGGGGCGTGCAGCATCCTGTTTGGCTCTATGACAGGAAGAGGACTTTACCTGGAGTTGGTCTGACGGCACAGCGGAGAGCCTGGCGGGGGCGGAACCCTCCTCTGGACGCAGGAAAACTTGCTGACCGCGTCTACACAAAAAGCAACAAAAAAAAAGCCTCAATTACCACATGTGAGAAGTTGGCCAGACACTTCAGCGGAATGTGACTTATGCAAAGGAATGCGGCGGCCGAGGGGATGCTCTGCTTACAGGTCCTTGCCCTTCTTCCTCTCCAGTGCAGTCATGTCATCTCCACCTGTCGGGATGCCTGGGGTCTGGCACGCATGCACACGCGCTGGGGCTGCCTCCTCACAGTGCGCAGCCGGCACACTCTGTCACACTCTGAGGCTGCGATGAGCGACCAGCCCGGGCTCCAGAGCAAGCGCCTCCCCTCCCGGCGTCCCCTCCTCCTCCACTGAAGCAGCAGTGGCAGAAGGCAGGCAGGCAGCAGGCTCGCTCACTGTCTCCTCCACGTACATGCTCCACCTCCTCCCCGCCCCCTGCTCCCTCCCTCCCCCCAGCGATCCCTTTGCTGCTGCTACTGCTGTCAATGTGGTACATCCGTGATCCAGAGGAAGAGATATAGGGACTACTGAAGTTCTTGTTTTTGTATGTACTGTATGTGACACATTTGTTTGAGCACGTTACACAATCTGGAACTGTTTAATCGCAAGATCAAATAACGTTTGCACCAATATTTATTTGTGTTAAATGGTTTCCTAGTTCTGTTTACTACTGCTTTTCTCTTCCTCTTTTCATTGTCTCTGTCTCTCTCGTTGGCAACACATTATCGATGCAATATTCTGGTTTGCAACCTTGGAAATGGGCTATATAAAGAAACATTACTAACTTACTTATGTTTTTTTATGTTTTGTTTGATGAAAGTTGCTTGCTTGTTCTATTGACAAATAATAAAAAATATTTTAACATACTTTTATTCCTTTATTTTATAACTTGTTATTGATAATTGTCGTCTTATCAATTTGCTAATTTGTGACCACAAACGTTTTGATTCAATCTTGATGAATCGTGTCCTTATACACCCATATGATTGTTTAGTGCTATGACTAAATAATCCATCAAAAATAACAACATTGTGTTTTTCAGGCTGGCATTTTCTGCCTTTATGTAGCTTCAGAAATCCAGTTTCCTGTTTAATTTATCAAAGGCTTGAAACAATGAGCATGAGATGAAACATTTTGGCAACACGTGAATACATTAATCAGTCAAAAGAACAAGTTAATATCACCTCTTCCCCTCTGCCAAGAGAGTTCACAACACTCGAATCGCCCAAGGTTTAAAGGAAAATTATAAAATGTATGTGTATTTTTGACCATATGACCAAAGGGTAAGTATCATGTACTTAAAAGAAACAAAAATAAAGCAACATTTACAGTACAGTCCCTGTCCATGGCATAACCACCCCCAGTAAGAATAGTCAGACCAAGGGCCTCACCTGTGGATCAAAGATGTATAATAATTTCAGCCAATCAGGAAGCAGTGGGGGGGAGAATGGGCGGTGCTTGCTTTGGAAAAACATTTCTCTCTCTCTCTCTCTTCACAATTCAAAAAGTAACCAAAATTCACTTAAACAGAATCAACGCCTAAAACCATTGACAAGCTTTCCTGCGTTTTCCTACAGCATCCCGGCTGCACACAAGCCACCAGCTACTGTATATGCACCACACATATTCATAATTGACCAGATTGCTTTAAAAGATTCATAGAAGATCCTTGAAGCGACACCTCCAAACATTGAATCCTTTCTTATAGTGCCGCTCTGTCCCAGACCGGTCCGTCCCGTGTGATGTCCCCACAGCTGTGAGAGGTGACATTGTCAGGATGTTCGGAGGGGTCCAACAGGTCGACTACAGGGACGTGCTAATGTAGTCCATCAATCTAACGGCAACCAAAGTCATTTACTCAAATCAAGCCTGTCAGAATGTGCCGGCTCAATGCAGAGGTCCACAGTTGTTCTGCAGTTTCATCCCCTTAATGGCAGGCTTCGATTGTCAGTGTGCGAATGAAAATTACTTCAATGGATGAATCAATGGCACAATCAGAGAGAGCTTGCCCATAACTGTCCTGCAAAAATACAACTGTGGTAAATCCAAAATGGGAGGGCGAGATCCAAAAAATATCATGGTGGCGAGTATGGATGTTAGTGTTTGAAATGTATTGTGTGTTGTATTCAGTTCTTAATATTAATTAAATATACATAGTCATACATAAATAACATTAACAAAGCTGACACATTTACCAAATATAGCTCACATCTGGAGACGGGTCGTTGGCTCCATAGCGGACGCCCACTACTCCTGACAGCTGGCCCCAAAACACCAGTACAACATGGATCAAATGTGGAGGTCAAGGCTTCCCTGCCGTGGGGACCAGTAATGTTACAGCTTCTCTGCTTATCTGCAACTATATTTAGTTTAACACAGTGTGGACCAGCCTATGACTTAAAGCACATATGACAGGTGTTTATCTATTTATTCGACAGGGGCAGTGTAAAGTTAATGAACATTTCTGTACATGCACCAGATTCGTTGTTCCTTCCAAAGGAGGAGGTGGTGGACGGTGATGATTAGGGACATTTATGGACATCTCACTCTCTTTGGACCAATGGCTCCTACGTGTTTGTTATTAGTGCCTTTCCTGTGTTCGAACCGTCTGATTCTCTGATCTGTTGTAGAGGAATCAACCTTTTTATTTCAAGTTCTACAAGGCTACTGCGCTCGTAATTTAGGGTATTAGACAAATAAAATGAATTGAATGAATGTACAAAACTAGCATTATCTATCATCGTACCCAAAGTAATAGAATAATACATTCAAATGTGCATCCTGCCGATTCCCCAGGAACCGCTGCCCCATACCAGATTATGGAGCACCTTGTTTTATGACCAGTATTAGGCCTGCAATAACTCAAGTAATCAGATGATTATCGAATACAACGTGAAAAAGGTCAAAATCGTGACATTAAGTCAGTATAAGAATAAGTTCCGCCTCTGTTGTTCGGGGCCACAGCAGTTCACAAAGAGCAGCATGTTTATATTTTAGATGCCAGTGGCAGTGCATCAACTTATTTATTGAACTTTAGCATAAAATCAGTGGCCTTCAGTGGATTTTGTTAAAATAGTTTTAAAATCATACTTGTCCAAATGGTGTAAAAAATTCTGCCCATTCTCGACCAAAAACCCCTGAATATGGTGCTTTAAATCCATGTCTCTGTATCCATGGACAGATTAGTGCAAAGAGCAGAAAAGTGTGATGTATTAATCCCTGGTTCATGCAGTGGAGCTGATGGCTGTGGGCTTGTTTCTCTGTAAAACTTTGTAATATGCACCAAACCCTGCAGATGGCTGTTTTTGTCAACGCGGTGAAAGGTTATTCAAGGGTAGCGCAATCTCTGTCTGTATTGACCAATGTTGGCTAATAGCAAAAGACACACAATAAGACCTTCGGCACAGAACACTGGGCATTGTTCAGTCTGCGTGTACATGAAGAGTCTCTCTGGTATACAGCACCATCGGCTGAAGAAGACGAGTTGAAAGGAAATGCGTCTCAAAGCCTCTCTGTCACTCCCCATTGGCCCTGCTGCTCTCATGTGGATTAGTTCTATCGCACTTAGCAATCACACACCTGCAGCTTCATTGATCCTGATTTGTAATTAAGAAAGATTCTGTTTGTGGTATGTCAGAATGTCTTTATTCCTGACATGCATTCTTATTGCAATGTACTGTAAAATTTGAGAACATTAATATTGTGTTATTTGTTGATGTTTTTTCATAGGATTCTAAATTATAACCATAGTTTGCTCAATGTTGGGATGAATTTTCTTGATCCATCTTGGTCCATCTCCACTGAGCCCTGACCAATCAAGTGTGACATATGGGTGACATCACGGCTGATGTATTTGGGGGTGTCTCTCACTGTGGGGGTGTCTGTTCCCCTCCACCATGTGTCCTTGTGTGTATGTTTGGTTAATTCCTCTGTAGGTATCTTGCAAGTGTTTAATGTCCTATTTCATATCTATTTGGTTTGTGCATAATATATTGCGCAACAAATACATTTCTGTTCTCAATGAAATTTCATCTGGATGTGTCTTTGGTCCATTGGACTCTTTTAGCATGCATGTCATACCACAGAGCATACAGTGGGTCAGAAAGAGCAGTGTACACGCAGCGTGACCTTGGTGTGCTCTTTGATGGTTTCAAAGTAGGTTCTGTGAGAGCACTGATTGAGAGTGCGAAACATGTGGGTACTCATTACATTGTGGGGAAAGGGATGTCTATGTGAGGGAACAAAATTGCATGACTCAATGTAAAGCTATGATGCTCAGATCACAACACACTGCCTTTAGTTTGTTTTCCAAGTAAAAACTAGCGATGGAACCAAACTGTTTAGAGAGCAAGGGAAGGTTTCAAAGTCCTACAGCTTTAATATAATGTATGTAACAGTCAGGAGAATGAATTTCCAGGAAAAGCTATGTCACCACATAGCATAGACATTGTGTGTGCGAATGCGTGTGCATGTGTGCACATGTGTGTAACTCCCATAAAGCAGCCCTGGTGATTGAAGGCTCTAAATACAGAAGGCTCTAAATACAGAAGGCTCTAAATGCAGAAGGCACACTCAAGGGAATAGGGCTACTCTACATAATGGTGAGGCTGTATTAAAGCCATCCTGATGCACACACATCTGCGTATCAATTGCGCTGACGTCCTTGTCAATCCCTTTCACAGGACCTCCAAGTAAAGCCAATAAATGGACTACAGAGCAAAGAAGTTCAAGTCTAAGAGGACAATGTTCTCCAGATAAGCTTTTTGATCATGTGGGTCCATTGTCATACTCCACCATTCTAACAATCCATTCTGAAAGTGATATGAGCCACGATCTTGACCTTTATACACAGGTGAGTCAGATGTGCAAGGATCATAGATGGAAAGCTTCTAAACACTGTTATGCCGCGTTCAGACCGGATCCTGTGTTGCTGCCACTTTCAATGCAAAGTCAATGGTGACGCACGTTTGAGAATGGAACTGCATGTGTGTCTCGGGATGCACGCACGAGACGCACGGTAGAGACGCTCGGACTGCGTGGCAAAGGCGCACAATCTTGAGTTATTCTATCCATGCCAGATGTGACATGTAAATTTCTCCTGTGTGAGATCAATAAAGTCTAAAACTTATCATATCACAATTGCATATTGTTCTGATGTCTGTATGCTTTTTCCCCAAATCTATTTACGTGGAGCACATAATGAAGCATTTGAAAAAGAGTCTTCTCATAGCAACATTCATGAACTTTTAACCCTCGATGAGCTTTGCCCGCCTTAGATCCTCGGGCAGGTCTGTGTTGGCCAAGGGCAAGCCTCCGAACGAAGGGTGACCGGGCTCCTTGGCTCTGGAGTGACCTGCACAAGGAGATAAGGCGAGTACCATCAGTGCTTTCTTTTAAATCACGTCTTAAAACTC